TTACCCTATGCTTATAAAACCCAACCCAAGTGCCAGCGCAGGGTGATATATTGGAGCATTTCCTCCTGTCTCCTTGCCGGTCCACTTGCAATGAAGCTTTTTTTTTTTCCTCAAAAGCCAATGTCATGGTATTGGCCTCCATGTACATTAGGCAGCAGGCCCATTGTTTGCTCGGTAACACCCTACCTTTGTACGTGAAAACAGCCACAGAGACTATGTAAATGACTTTTATCTCATTTAAATGAATTGTCAACCTCAGCTAAATTACTACGTATCATATAAACAGAAAATGTAAGTAAACTGATTATTTCTTTCCGTCCATGTTTTTACCCATTTTCTTCATGTGTAGAATGTTAGGATTTTGAAGTTAACTGTTTCTGAAAACTTATTTGCAAATTTTTCAACACTGCAAAAATTGCTAAAAATAATGAAGCCAATAAAATTAAGCCAGGTTAAAAACATAAAAGAAGAAAAGGAAGGCAGGCAGGCAGGCATTTGTTTAAAGCTTCTTTCCCTCAGCATACTATTATTTATGATTCAGCTATCTTGTTGAGTTTATCAGTAAGTTGATTCTTGGCCGGTGCGGTGGCTCAGGGATGTAATCCCAGCACTTTGGGAGGCCGAGGCACGTGGATCATTTGAGGTCAGCAGTTTGAGACCAGCCTGGCCAACATGGCGAAACCCCGTCTCTACTAAAAATACAAAAATTAGCCAGGCATGGTGGCGGGCACCTGTAATCCCAGCCACTGGGGAGGCTGAGGCAGGAGAATTGCTTGAACCCAGGAGACGGAGGTTGCAGTGAGCTGAGATCGCGCCATTGCACTCCAGCCTGGGCGACAAGTGAGACTCCTTCTAAAAAAAAAAAAAAAAGTTGATTATTTTATTGCTGAGAAGTGTTTCATTGTATACCATTTGTTAGCCCATTCTCTTACTGATGGACAGCTGGGATGTTTGGATGTTAGAAATAAAAGTGCCTTGAACTATCGTAAATTTTCATGTGAAAGTATGTTTTTTAATTCTCTTGGGATTAGAGCTGCTGGAACAAAGCAGCAGGGATCAGTGAAACCTTAATTTGTATTTTATTTTACTTTATTTATTTATTTATTTACTTATTTATTTATTTATTTTTGAGACAGAGTCTCACTCTGTTGTCCAGGCTGGAGTGCAATGGCACCATCTCAGCTCTCTGCAAGCTCTGCCTCCTGGGTTCACACCATTCTCCTGCCTCAGCTTCCCCACTAGCTGGGACTACAGGTACCCGCCACCACACCTGGCTAATTTTTTGTATTTTTAGTAGAGGCCGGGTTTAACCTTGTTAGCCAGGATGGTCTCAATCTCCTGACCTCGTGATCTGCCCGCCTCAGCCTCCTAAAGTGCTGGGATTGCAGACGTGAGTCAACGCGCTGGGCCAAAACCTTAATTTTATAAAATGTTTTTTATGTTCCAGACCTTAACTTCTAAATTTGAAGTGTATATTTAATTATGGAATATGCTTTAATGTAATCTTTTGGGATAATCACATAATATTTCGCCTTGAGATTTTTAATATAAATAACAATAAAATAAAAAACTAATAGTAAATGAATATCCTCCCAATCTTCCTAACTTTGGAATGTGGGGACAGGATTCGAAAATATCTTAGAATTTTGAGATCTTTACATGGTTCCCTCAAGGCTTTTAAAAAGAGTATTTAATTGCCTGGCATCGTGGCTCACGCCTGTAATCCCAGCATTTTTAGAGGCTGAGGCGGGCAGATCACCTGAGGTCAGAAGTTCAAGAACTGAATAGAGGTGCTTGTTAGCATCTGCATCTCAGTGGCTGGGGACAGCTGGACTCAGAGCTTGTGTGACTCATGCAAAGTCAGATGATCATGCCTGGTCAACATGGTGAAACCCCGTCTCTACTAAATATACAAAAATTAGCCGGGTGTGGTGGAGGGTGCCTGTAATCCCAGCTACTCAGGAGACTGAGGCAGGAGAATGGCTTGAACTGGGGAGGCAGAGGTTGCAGTGAGCGGAGATCGTGCCATTGCCCTCCAGCCTGGGCAACAAGAGTGAAATTTCGTTCCAAAAAAAAGAAGATTTAATTGTGTTGATTTTAATGATTACTAAAATTTTAGCGGTTTTTTTTGAAACATTTCTTGTTTCCTTTCTCTTTCCCTTGTAAATAAGCTGTAAGAGAAAACTGCTCAATCACAAAATGTAACATAAGGCTTTCATGTCAGTGTCCAGTAGGAATGAATTTTTTATGGTGACCAGGTAGGGTTATAATCCAGAACTCTGGTAGGCACATCCATGTGTAGAAAATAGCATCAGTTTTTGTGGCCGGGTGCAGTGGATCACGCCTAAAATCCTAGGATTTTGGGAGGCTGAGGACGGTGGATCACCTGAGGTCAAGAGTTTGAAACCAGCAGATATAGTGTTCTTGTTCTCAAAGCCGAGGTGGGCGGATCACCTGAGGTCAGGAGTTCAAGACCAGCTTGGCCAACATGGCAAAATCCCATCTCTACTAAAAATACAAAAATTAGCCAGGCGTGGTGGCGGGTACCTGTAATCCTAGCTACTCGGAAGGCTGAGGAAGGAGAATTACTTGAACCCAGGAGATGGAGCAAGACTCCATTTCACAAGGAAAAAAAAAAAAAAGAGTGCCAGTTTTAAACAGGTATGAATCTGAAATCTTCCACTTACTAGCTACACGATCCTCAAAAAATTACATGAATAACTTGAATCTCATTTCTTCATTTGTAAAATGTATGAAATCTAAATCCTTAGGGGATTTTTGGAGGATGGTATATATAGAGTATCTGATTTATGGAGTGTATTCTGTAAGTTTAATTTTTCTCTTCAGCCATCCATGTAGTCAGTATTTATTTAATAGCTACTATATGGCAGGCTCTGTGCTAAGCACTGGGGATACACCAGTCACACTGCCTGTCATCCAAGCAATTACAAAGCAGTGCTACCTACACCACGTTAGAAGGAGAGATAGTGCTAACGTAGTCATAAAAGGGAGGTCAAGGAATATTTCTCAGAAAAGAAGGTGTGTATTGGCAGTGCTTTAAAGGATGAGTGGCAATTATCCTGGAGTGGCAAAGGAGAGCACTGCTTGTTTGAAAAGATAAAAGTAATTTAACATGGCTGGAGCGTTTATTTACTTGGGAGAAATGGCAGAATATGGGCTTCCATAAGGGTCCCAGGTAAATTAGCAAAGGCTACATATTGGCTTTTTAATTTTTAAAATTGATAAATTGTTACAAAATTAATTTCACTGCAGCTGAATGTGGCTGTAGAAAAACTTAAAGCGATTTAGATTGGTTTCACTTTAAATTCATGATCACAAGCTTCGAGTGAGCCTGTCCCTCATCTATTCACTCTCTCTATCCTAGATGACCACTCCATAGTGAATCTCTTCAAACCCTAGACGCTTCTTTATCTATCCTCCCTCTCAGCTGGTGACTTTCTGACCAGAAGTGTTTCAGATTCTGGATTTTTTTGGATATTGGAATATTTGCGTATGCATAATGAGGTATCCTGAGGATGGGACCCAACTCTAAACATAAAATTCATTTATGTTTACATTTGCTTCATACACGTAGCCTGAAGATAATTTTATACAATATTTTCTAGTAATTTTGTGCATGAAAGCAAAGCTTTGACTGTGTTTTGACTATGACCTGTCACAAGAGGTCCGGTGTAAAATTTTCCACTTGAGGTGTCTTGTCTTTTGAAGCATTTTGGATTTTGATATTTAGCTTAGGGATGTTTAACCCATATTATACAAAAAGTGGATAACAAGAAATTGTTTAGGTATATTTACAAATATTTTCTTCTTGGGTGTAATTATTTTGTAAAATGTTTTCATTATTATACCATTTACTTACTACACTCATATAAACAATAAAAGAAGCTATGTTTTTAATATTCTGAATGCATTTGTTTCTATCCTCTTCAGTTTTATATCCTCAATAAATATATAACAACTAATAGAAAACAATATTTTTTGCTACTAAATAAAACAATTAGTGCATCTTCTATGAGAGACCTTAAAAGTTAATTAGTCATTTAAATGTTCAGGCTAGTAGTTCTGACTGCACATTAGAATCACCAGATAAGCTTTTAAAACTCCTGACGCTGAGGTCTCACACCAGATAAATTAAATTTGAATTTCTATCCATGGAACAAATTGGTATTTTAAAGACTTCCAGGTGATTTCAGTCTACAGCCAAGATTAAAGGCCACTGGTTAACCAGAGCCCATCAAGCACTGAACATTAATCTTGAATAAACCTTTGTAGATATTTCCAAATGAAGATCAGAGCACCTCTAGCATGCTGCAAACATACTGTCTCTGCTTCTGTCTTCTTTAAAACACAACATATGGGCCGAGCGCGGTGGCTGACGCCTGTAATCCCAACACTTTGGGAGGCCTAGGCGGGCGGATCACGAGGTCAGGAGATCGAGACCATCCTAACTAACGTGGTGAAACCCTGTCTCTACTAAAAATACAAAAAAATTAGCCAGGCGTGGTGGCGGGTGCCTGTAGTCCCAGCTACTCGGGAGGCTGAGGCAGGAGAATGACGTGAACCCGGGAGGCAGAGCTTGCAGTGAGCCGAGATCGCGCCACTGCACTCCAGCCTGGGCGACAGAGCAAGACTCTGTCTCAACAACAACAACAACAACAAAACACAACATACGACTTTCTTAAAGAGTCAGGGCCAAGAGTCCAAAGACGGCTTGGCATATCTGCTATTCAGTCTCTTTTAATGAACACTGCCAAAGAGTTGACTCTGCGTTAGGGGCTAATGGAAACACAAAGGAGGAAGAAAACATGAGCTCTGCTTATAAGAATCCCAGTTAAAGACATTAGATAAGCGGTCTTTCCTCTCTAGTCTTCATGATCCCTGTCTGTGCAATGAGGATAATGCAGATATCTTCCTCATCTGATTATTGAGAAGATATTAATAAAATGTTGTACATAAGTGTTTGTATTAGTGAATGGCAGTACATTTTTTAAAATAATGTGGCCATTATTTTTTTTTCTTATTTTCAGCTGACTGAAGCTGACAACAAATTTTCAGCCGATAAGTAGAGTGAAGACTCTCAAACACTGTAATGCGCATGCCTACACTCTTAGACATTAGGGGAATCTCAAGAAGAATTTGAGGAGGGAAAAACAATATGGGTCAGGATGCTGATGTCTTTCAACTCTCCATGAATTAAGGTAAGAAAACTGTTAATTTGTAGAAATGAAGTGATGTCATAACTACTGGCTTTGGCCTAGGGAGTTAAGGGTCTAGGATCCAGAGAAGTAAACTGTATTAATGATGTGGTCAGATCCATGCCAGAGTTTGTTTGGAAATGCACAGAATTGATTCCAAGATGTTTTAATAATGCAGTCTGGAGTTTGCATCTCAAAGTAATGATCCATCAAGGATGGTCTTTAGAGCTATTTTCTAACTCACATGCTTAGTGGAGACTCACATCAAAATGCCCTGTTAATAGGAATCAGTAGCTGGTAAACTGAAGCCTAATTCAATTTGTGTCATTTCCCTGCAAATCTGTACTCCATCTATGTGCCATCACCTGAAGACCACACACCCAAAGCTATTAGTATACAATATGATGTATAACAGAGCTCCATGACTTCTCTGTGGAATAAATTTATTTCACTGTATTTTTTAAAAATATTTTTCATGTTTATACTCAGAGTAAATGAGAAATGTTACAGCTGTTCTTCTTTGTAAATTGTCACACCTTAAGTTCCTTAGGATGGCTCAACTCTTTCACTCTTCTAGCATGGGAAAGAATTGTTTAATAAAAATAAAACATAACAGTGGATTCATGATCTAAAGAAGGCAAAATAGAAGATTTTTGTTTTCTATTTCTCTTGACTACTCAGCTAATTGTACGACCACTAAACCTTTCTTTATCTCCCCCACCTCACAGGGTTAATCTCTAATGCTACTCAATATTTTATACCTATGTGGAAACTACCATTTAACAAAATGTTGTTTGATGTGGGAAAAAAATCATTCTTTCAATATTTGATAATTTTGTATGGCTAAGCACTTTTGTTAGATTTTTATTTTCTTCAAGAGAAATAAAATAGAGGCAGTGGAAAGGATTACTTCTCTGTCCCCAGGGGTTGAATACTCACCAGAGGACTCAGTATGTTTGATTCCTGATACTTATTTAAAACCCTTTTTCATGCTTACTTACTAGGGCTTTTTAAATTTGTCTTCTTCCAGGTGAAATAATGCAAAACAACTCGAGAATGAAACTACTGATTCATTAACAAAGAACAGAAAATAAGCAAGGGCAAAACTTGAGAACATACATACACAAAAATACAAAGACTCACGTAATTTTTATCTCAGATAAACAAGGAAAGAAGTTTGCTGAATTTGCCTTTCTACTAAGAAGTCTTTGCTTTCACTTGGTTGGGAGGGTGCTTAACATCAAGAAGCAGGAGCTCCTGGAAAACAGGCCCCTTCTACCCTAACATGTTTTCTGTGGGGCCGTTCAGTTATTGTCCCTAAGCAGAGGTAACTGGGAAGTAGCCTTGGGCTGTAATTTTCCCATTTTACCTCAAGCAATATCATAACTAGCAATGTGTGACGCCCAGGAGGTTTGTTTCCTAGATAACATTCTCTTTACAATATAAGGGCTCTTTGAGAGAGTTAATATAATAAATCCTCAGAGTAAAGTCTAGGATACTCTTTAGAAATTAACTATTAGTTGAAACATATGAAAGCCGTTCAGCAGGTGACAGAGCTATTTGAAAATAGATTAAACAACTTTCAAGTAAATTATTATAATATAATTTAACATTCATTAATGTTGTTAGTGATTACACACTAAAACATAGCCCAAAATAACATATTTTATCCTCATATTGTAACACAATTTATGTTACACTTGAACAAAAATCCCTCAATGTGCTGATTTTAAATCCATCATCAGTTCTACTAGTCAAAAGTGGATAATCATTTTGCATTTGTACCTCTGGTAGCCAAAGTAATGTATCTTCTCTTCATGTTTCTTTATCATTCATTAATGTGCTGTTTTCACATTGGTTAGTTTTGAAATTGTCCATGGCCCAGTTGACCCAAGCAGAAAGATTTCACAGGCTGGTTGCATTGTATTTTACCTTCTGTTGTCAATTCCTTTGGTCTAGTAAGAATGAAATCCTTTGGTCTCATAAGAATGAGTTTTTTTTTTCCTTTGAGCATACAGAATATTTTTGGTTTTGTTCAAAAGTGAAGCCATAAATCAGAAAATGTTTTTCTTCTTTGTTTATTTGCTCCTCTAGCAATGTGTATTTCATATATGTGAGTGCTCAGGTCTAAATTTCAGGTCTACATTCAGCACAGCATCGTCATGGACAGCTAATGAGATTGCAGATGGTAAAGCAGAACATGTGTGGTCATGGGATGAAACTACTCCAAATATTTTATTAAATGCTTACACTCCCTTCTCTCACTGGCTTCATTTGCATAAACATTTTATATTACAATTTTTTTACAGACATAAATACATGAATACCTCCATTGTAATTGTTCTTAAAATTTAGCATGATTATCTCCTTTGAAGAATAGAATGGTCCTTTAATCAACCAATTAAAATTGTATAACCCACCAGAAGAATTCATACACTGTGCTTAATAATTAGTCACAAACCATATGTCTGGGACTATTTAATATTGACTTTAGCTCCATGTATATTATTTCCATCTACTTTTTTATGTTAGTGGGTTAACAGTATGAGTATGAATATATGAATTTCTAAATGGAAAGAGATGTGCTTTCTTTATTAAGCTTGGGATTGTCAAGGAGAGCAATGGTTAAATATGACTAAGGTCCATTTATATTTAACTCTGCTCTTTTTTTCTGGAATTGACAGTATAGCTGAATGCATGCTGGTATTGTACTTTCTCCTTTGAAATAACAAAGAAGCCAGATAAAAGGATTATTGCTCACAGAAGAGAATAGAAAAAAGCAAGAGACCCAGGGAAAGAAGGACTCAATCCACTTTCTCTAAAATTATTCATGTTTGAGACAATGACTGATGTCATGAGTATCTTCTTACCTCTCTATGCCTTTTTATGGCATATTTTAAGGTTGATTTTTGAACTGGCTTTATAAATGTTTTCTAAGGTTTCAATGAAGGTGAATATGCCTTTGCAAACTATTTCTCAGGCTATGAACCATGAGTGTGTGGGTCAGTGAGTGGCAATGATGACATGCCACACTTGTGGAGAACTAAATGTGAAAGATTAAATGCTTTTTGCCTTAGATCAGGAAGAAGAGGTTGTTCACTTGTTTAGAATGAACTCTCTGAGTTTCTTTATCCGCTCAGCTGGTAGCCATTGTTTTCTGCAGCCACCAGAGACCCAGACGGAAGCACAGCAGCAGGAGACCCACCTGCACGGGTCAAATTGCAGATGTGGCTTCAATGACATGATCACAGTGTGAAAGTTCCCTGGGGGCACACAGCATGCCTGGAGAACACACACACACACACACACACACACACACACACACACACACACACAGAGGTCAATGCCTTTATTGAGTCCAGGGCATTATATAAACAGGGAACTTCAAATTGATGGGTTTAAAGCAAGCAGGCACTAGTACTAGGAAGTCACATTGTGACTGAAAAGTGTCTAAATGGTCTGTTTAGAGGAAGCAGCAGGACAGCTGGGAGCCCAGATTGCTGGGAGACAGAGGTGCCTCCAAGTTTTTATTTCTGATCACTAGCTGGAGCCATCTGGTGGGGGTATAGTACAGGAAACTGTACTATAGGGTACAAGGTACAAGGATGACTGAACCCTGCTTCTGGTTTGAGAAAGTTCAACTCATATTTAAAAATGGATGTTAAGGCAATATAAAACTTTAAGCACTCACTGCACTACGCTTACCTCTATTTTTTACCATTGTACTGGAGGTTCTAGCCGAGATAATTAAACAAGAAGAATAAAGTAAAGGCATTCAGATTGGAAAGGAAGAGGTAAAATTATCTCTACTTGCAGATGACATTACCTTGTATATAGAAAATCCCAACAATGCCACTAAAAAAATTATTAGAAGTAATAAACAAGTTCAGCCTGACGGCAAGGTACAACATCAATATACAAAAACAGCATTTCTGTACTCTAGCAATGAACACTTCAAATTAAGACAATTCCATTAATAATAGCATCAAAAAATAAAATGCTTAGAAATTAGTTATTCAAAAAAAGCAAAAGTTATACCCTAAAACTACAAAACATACTTGAAAGAAGGTTAAAAAAAAAAAAGGAGTAAATAAATGACAGGACACCAATGTTCATAGATTGGGAGACATTATTAGGATGGTTTCCCAAATTGATCTACAGTCACGACAGCTCTGTAGAAATCCCAACAGCCTTTTCTGTGGAAATTGACAAGCCGATCCAAAAATTCATGTGGAAATGCAAGGGACTCATGATAGTCAAAGTAATCTCAAAAGTGAAGAACAAATTTGGAGTATGCACACTTCTCTACTTCAAAATTTACTACAAAGCTATAGTAATAATTGCAGACTTGTACTGGCATAAGGACATATAGCTCAATGGGATACAGCTAAGAGTCCAGAAACCAATGTTTACATTAATAGTCAGTTGATTTTCAACAGGAATGCCAAGGCTGTTCAATGGAAATAATAGTCTTTTCAACAAAAGATGCTGGGAAAACTGGATATCACATGCTAACAACTGAAGCTGGACCCTTTGCTCATATTTTATACAAAAAGTTACCTCAAAAATATATCATAGACTAAAGTTTAATAGAAAAATTATAAAATGCTTAGAAGAGAGCATGGGGAAAAAATCTTTTTGAGTTTAGGCAAAGCTTTCTTAGATATGACACCAAAAGCACACGCAACAAAAGAAGAAAATAGATAAGTTGGACTTCCTATAACGTATACATATATGAATATATCATATTGTATCCCATAAATATGCGCAATCATTATTTGTTAATTAATTTTTTTTTAAAGTAAAAAAAAAAATTTTTTTTGAGATGGAGTCTTACTCTGTCACCCAGGCTGGAGTGCAGTGGTGTGATCTTGGCTCACTGCAATCTCTGCCTACCGAGTTCAAGCAATTCTTGTGCCTCAAACTACCCAGTAGCTGCGATAACAGGTATATGCCACCACGCCTGGCTAATTTTTGTATTTTTAGTAGAGATGGGGTTTGGC